AAACCAAAAATTCAGGAGGTCAAAGCTTGTGGCATTTGCACATCAACCGGGCACCCCACTGATTCATGTCCATCACTCCAAGAAGAGCAAGTCAACGCCCTCGGTTTCCAAGGACATCAACAAAGAAGGTATGATCCTTTCTCAAATTCTTATAATCCGGGATTGAGGGATCATCCAAATTTGAGATATGGGAACCCTCAACAAGCCAACTCATCTTCTCAACCACCTTTCAACACCCAAGGCTCAAATTCTCAATCTAATATGTCAACTGATGAGATGATCCGAACTTTGACCTCAAACATGGTTACCATGCAACAAAACATGGGAAAATTTCAACAAACCATGATACAATTCCAACATGAGACAAAGTCAAGCATAAAAAATTTGGAAACTCAAGTTAGCCAAATTTCAAATGCTGTGAGCCGACTTGAAGCAAAGGACTCGGGTAAACTCCCATCTCAAACGGAGCAAAATCCGAGGCAACATGTGAATGCCATCATGTTGAGAAGTGGGACGACATTGAAAGAGGTAGAGAAGAAAGATCAAGGAATTGAAGAGGTTGACCGTGAGGAGGAAGCTAAATTCGAGGAGGAGTCAACAAAATCCAACCCCCCTCCATTGTCATCATATGAAGCAGTAGCTCCTTTCCCCGAGGCATTGAGGGAAACAAAGAAGCCAAAGAGAGATGCAGATATCTATGAGACTTTCGCCAAGTGTGAGGTAAATATTCCACTCCTTAACTTGATTAAAGGTGTCCCTCGATTCGCTAAATTTTTAAAAGAATTATGCACAATCAAGAGGACGCAACACTCAAAGGGAAAACAGAAAGTTGAAATCAGTGAACATGTTTCGGCAGTTTTTCAAAGAAAACTCCCAAAAAAATGTACTGACCCGGGCATGTTCACTATACCGTGCAAGCTAGGAGACACCATTTCTAGGGCCATGTTAGACTTAGGGGCATCAATTAACGTGGTCCCCTATAATCTTTATAAATCTTTGAACTTTGGCCCTTTAAACAAAACCGGTGTCACTATTCAACTGGCCGATAGATCAACTATTTTCCCAAAAGGGGTAGTGGAAGATGTACTAGTTTCAGTAGGTGATCTAGTGTTTCCTGCCGATTTTTACGTACTTGAAATGGAGAGTGATGAACATGAAGTCCCTATTTTATTAGGGAGGCCATTTTTAAAAACCGCTAATTCAACAATTGATGTTTCTAGCGGACTTTTAACTATGGAATTTGATGGAAGGAAAATAGAATATAACATTTATAATTCTATTAAAAATCACTCTTCCTTTAAAGAATCAATTTTGATCATGGAGGAATCACTAGAAAAACCACCGACGGTTGAGGTGGTAGCAAGAAAGAAAGCTCGGCCTTACTGGAAAAGGCCGAAAAATAAAATTGACACAAGGCCGAACAGGGCCTTAAAGAAGGATAAAAGGGATGTTTATGATCCCACTTAATTCAGAAAATAAAATAAAAATAACGTCGTGCCGCGACATTAACTAAGGCGCTTCTTGGGAGGCAACCCAAGTTTGTATTTTGATTATTTGCATTCAGTTGAGTGTCTGTGTAAAAAAAAAAAAAAAAAAAAAAAACGCTCCTGGGGAAGGTACCCGATCGGGTTACACCTTTCACCCGGTCGGGTATATTTAATTGAGTTATGGGAATTCCTACGGCGTGATTTTCCCAATCGAGTACTACCCCAACTCGATCGGGCCCGACCCCGGAACAAGCCAACCCGCGTATACCCGATCGGGTATGTCAGGTCACCCGACCGGGTACCCGAGTTTTTAGCCCAAAACCCACATTTTCGAACCCCCTCTCCAAAATTCTCCATCTTTAAACCTTCTTTCTTCACTATCTCCATCAATACTCACCCAAACTTCCTCATACCACCACCAAGACACTTCCCTTTACAAACCAAAAAAAAAATCCCCATATTTTCTCCTCTCCATAAAACCCAAAACCCCAGCCCCCCGAAATTCAAGCTCCAAAAAGGCAATCAATGGCACCAAAGCAGGACAGGGCCGCAAGTTCACAGGCTAGGGGACCGATTCAGGGCTACGAGGATGTACATTCCAACAAAGTTATTACAGAGACGAGCACTAGGGACAGTGCTTCGAACTAAGTGAGGGGGAGTCACTCATTGATACGTACTTAAGTTTGATACCTTGTAACTGGCATTATTTTCTTCACATGAAAAAAAAAAAAGAAAGAAAAAAGAGAAAAAAAAAAAAGAAATGCTAGTTAGGTTGAAAACCCAGAACGGGCAATCTAAGCAAAAATGGCTTATAAAAAATTGAGTGAGTGGAAAGGATGGAAAAATAAAAAGAGTTGCTAGGATGAAAACCTGAAAAGGCTCCTAGGCAAAATGAGAGATATGAGAGATATATTTGTTTTTACAGGACATCATTTAATCTCTTGAACATGAAAAGGAGAGAAGAAAAGAGACGAGCAGAGAAGACCATGAAACCCAAGAAGATGTTTTATCCTTGGTGGTCTTTTGCTTTTTTTGTTGACTATTGAACTCTTGAGGACTTGGAACTGTTAAACATTTGACTTTACTCGAGGACGAGTAAAGAAGCTAAGTGTGGGGGAGTTGATATTCGTGTAATTTCCGAGTGTATGTTTGTATTTTTAACTAGTTTTTATTAGTTCTAGTTGTGGAAATTACACACTTTTGGTGTAATACTTTATTTTCATTTTTATTTGTAATTTAGTTAGATTAGGATTTTTCTGAGCTAAACAGGTCAAAGATCATCTAAGGGATCAAGATTGGACCTTAAAAGATCAAGGAAAGTGCAAGGAGACAAGAAAGATTTCGATTTGGAAAAAATACTCATGTACCCGGTCGGGTATTGCCTATACCCGATCGGGTAATTGCTTGATTCGACTGTCCAAATCAAATCCGAAGACAAATGATCGTGGGAGCAAATTTTCGTAAAGATTTGTCACATACCCGATCGGGTATATACCCTTACCCGATCGGGTATCCCCAGAAAAATGACTTTCTGGGCAATTTCCTGAGATACCCGGTCGGGTATCCTATATACCCGGTCGGGTATCAGACCCTGCAGCTCCCAAAAGCCTAAAAATACACCCCTTTCCTTCACAATAAAATCCCTTCTTCCATACTCTTAAGCTCAGTTTAGAATAGTATTTCTTTTATATTTTTATAGCATGTTTAGTCTCCAAATGAGGAGCTAAACTCTTCCATCTTGGTTTTGCTACTTTGAAGCTTAATGAATTTGTAAGTTGTGAGTTATTCTCTTTAATCTTCTTCCTTGAATATTAATTCTTCTTTTAAATACTATTTCTATATCAATGTTGGGGAGTGTTACTAAGATGACAATTAGTTAACATCTTGACATTAATTATAGTAATAGCTATTTCTTCCTCTATGTTAATATTGGGGAGTGTTACTAAGATGACAATTAGTTAACATCTTGATATTAACTATAGTAGGATTCATCTTCTTTAATATTCTTCCTTGAATATTAATTAATTCCTATTCATATTTCATATTAATATTTTGAACATTACTTAAAGGATCAACTAGTTTTGTTCCATATATTAATTATTACTAGAATCAATCGGTTAATACGCTTGTTATTAATTCGGTTCTTTCAATAGTAGTAAACTTGGGTTGTTAATCCATGCTTCTCATGGTTAATAAACCAAGGGGAATTAATTATATTGATTAAACCAATAAACCGCTTGTGTTGAGGTTATCAATCTCAATCGTTTTCATCTTGATTTTATTGCTACTATCGAGTTAATATACGGCGCTTGTTCTATATTGACTCGGTAGTAAGTTTTATTAATGAACGCGTCTCGTTATTAATAACTACCCTCGATGAACTGGATATACTCCTCGATTGAGTATTCGAGAGGAAGATAGTTAAAGATATAACCGGGATCGACGAACATTTCATTAAGTGGATAAAAGCAAAGCCAAGTCTCCTTCTTATTAATTAAACCACATAACTCGTCCATCTTCGTGTTTAATTTATTAAACCAAATCAAACTAAAACCCCCCATTTTGTTACCAGTTCTATAAAAAGAAAAGTATTCCTTTCCCTGTGGATACGAACCTTACTTCGTTATACTACGTATAATTGTTGTATTGTATTATTATTTTGAGTGCACACCACGACAAAGTGCACGTCAACGGAGTACTAAAAAGTAAAAAACACAAGAAAAAAAGTAGAAAACATAGATGAGTTAAGACGCTAAGGAAAGAATTAGAGCATCTATTACTTAACTTGCTCTTTGCTATCTTGGATCTTTTATCTTTCTCTTCTCTCATCTCCATACATACAATATATTATCTCATTATCTATCTATGACATCCTCTGGAACTCCTCACTTTTTTGTTATTGTTTTACATATTTGTTGATTTCAAGCACTAGATGTTGGTTTATGATATCTCCAAATATATTCATTTTATTCTTGCAAGCTCGATAACAGTTGAACATTAAAGGACAGGTAAGTCCGAAAACCCAATGCACAGTAAAACAACAATAACGTTACAATACTATCATAATCAAACTATATACTCCCTCAGTGATTTTGCCAACATTTCTTAAAATTTTTTGTCATTTTTCTATTAAAGTAATAATTTGTGGTTATACTTGTTTTCTCTTTTTCTTTGCACAAATTTCAACTAATTCGGGATAAGGGTCAGTTTGGTCCTCGAAGTTGCAAAAAGGGGGTCAAATAAGTCCTTATATAGAAGATTCTGTCCGGACGTGTCATTTGAGGTGGCTCCCGGTGGAATTTTTTAATGAAATTTTTTGAACATCTTATTCATTAAGTCTAGTTTACTCATACCAAATTTCAGATAAAAATTCAATGGGGAAGACATTCAAATGAATTCTTGAAGATAACTGTGCCGTTAAAAGCGCTGTTATCTTCAAGAATTCATTTGAATGTCTTCCCGATTGAATTTTTAGCTGAAATTTGGTATGAGTAAACTAGACTTAATGAATAAGATGCTCAAAAAAATTTATCACAAAATTCCACCGGGAGCCACCTCAAATGGCACGTCCGGACAGAATCTTCTATATAAGGACTTATTTGACGCCTTTTTTGCAACTTCGAGGACCAAACTGACCTTTTTCTCATCAGAATAGTGAAGAGGTAATTGATCTGTATGGCGGGAAGAACAATTCAGGTGTTTGGGTTCCCACATCTGATATCAGCGGAGGCGGCCAAAACATGGATTGAAAAACACACCACCAAAAGGGGCTGCGTTTATGCCCTCGAGGTGAAGATGTCCAAAGGAGCTTCAAGAGCCTACGCCATTGTGCAATTCAGCTCCAATGAAAGCTCAGAAGAAATCATAAATTTGGCCAAACAGCACAAGTTGTATTATCGTACATCCTTCTTGACTGCTAAGGAACTGGTGGGAACCCAAATTATGGAACCTAAGTCTTATGCCCATGAAATGGAGAAAGTTGCTGTCTGCTTTGGATGTCAAACTCGCAGGGATGGGTTCCACGTGCTCTGGAGAAAGCGGAATATCTCTGTGAAATTCGGGATTGGATTCAAGTATGTGTTCTTGCTCCTCTTTCACGGCTCCACACAGTACAAGCTTCAGCTTTCTCGTCAAGGCATTTCGAGAATCACGCAATATTATCCACAAGTTGATCAGAATGCAAAGTTTCTAGTCATTCAGGTTTTCTTAACTAATTACTTTGCATGCCTATGTTATGCTTGTCAATTTATCTCAAAACAACTTCACTTTTTGATTAATTGTGTTCTCACTTGGATCGAAAATTTCTGATTTGATTAGCTTAGATTTAGTATATTCGCTCTCGTCTGATTGAGTTTGCTCTAGTCTCATTTGGTTTAAATTGAAACTTGTCCAAATTGAAACATCCTTAATTAATACTCCGTATTATCATGAAAAAAAATCAAATTTCCCCTAACAAGGCATATATTGGTCATATAGTAATTAGGATTTATATATTTAGAAAATATAAATGTCTAAGACTCTGAGTCATTGTTATATTTATGCCATTATGCTCCATGTAGATTAAAGCCGGATGAAATGAAAAGAATCAAATCTGTTTCTTCTTCATTTCATTCGTTGCTTCATGCTCGTTCTTTTATTCATATCTTTAAGTCTTCTAACCTTTATATCATAGTTCTTACTTCTATAAACTCAATATTCCTCCAATGCCTTCTTCGTCATCTGTGAATGCTGTTAATATGTTCAAAGATAACATCCCCTCTGCTATTACTTTGACCATGTTAAGTGTGACACTCGTTGTGAGGCCTCATCTTCTGTGATTCCTCATCGTATCAACTCTTCTCGTCTATTCTCTAGTATGTCTTCTAGTAAGCTGAAGAAGGATAAAACAGGAGCAAATCAGGAATACACATCTTGATCTGACATAGCTCATCTCCAATACTTCACACTTCTGATCTTCACTAACATTATGCTCCACCGCTGGTTAGTCTGATAACTCTGATTGTGGATGTTCTTCGGCTCCTTTTTTAAAACAAAATGTTATATGTCATTCCCCAACATACTTCAGGGTCACATCATGCCTTTAGAGCTTGGCCTCTGGTTTCATCTCCACCCCTTCATCGTTTGTTGAATACTTCAACTATGTTCATGATATCTCTTTATATGTTTGTTATGGTTATTTTACTTTCCACTTTGATCAACAATTTCCAAACATAAGACATCTAAAATTGAGTATCTGATGATACAAAATGATTGTGTAAACAGTGTATTTTACTACATGTGTTCAAACATGAATTACTCCATGGAATTACCGATATACCCATCACTCCATAAGGTTACAAGTCCATTATCATTCGAGTGTCATGGAAAAATTGGAGGGTTATAGTCCACTTGATATTCAATGATATCTATATTTTTCAAAGATAAATCTTAAGGGCCCATTTACTAACATGAATATTTTCTGTTTTTTCAGAAAACTGGAAAACTGGAGAAAGAAAAACTGAAAAAAACGTTTACCTGTTTATTCTCCAAAATTGAAAAACAGGGACATGCTTATGGTTTTCTTCTTAAATTGGAGAACTCACCTTACGTGTTTTCCAAAATGGAAATACGCACTACGCAGCGCTACACTGCGTCTTGTATTTGTTTCGCGCTCGAATATCTGATTAGGACAAATTTTTTTAACTACATATTTTTTGAGATCTATGCGACGGTGTATGTTTAATTATATTTTGTTTATTAAATTATGAAAATCAATTTCACGCTTTTAGTATTTTATAACTTACTTTTAGGTATCATAGTTTTCCCCAGAATTTAAATAAGTTTCTAATACTAACTCTGATCCATAGATCATGAAAAAACATGTGGCTTAAAAAAGTATTACTAGTGTTACGTACTCAAACATGTTATGAAAAACACGTGGCATTAAAAATAAGTTTCTAATGCTAACTTTGATCCATAATTTTAACGTCAAAGTATTACTAGTGCTGTGTATTTGTTTTTCAACACAATGTAGCTTCTTGTTAAAAAATGTCACGTATTAAGTTTTGTTTGTGGATTATCATTTATGAAAACGTTTTGTCTTATTTCAAATGTTTCTAACTATGGGAACTTTATTTTGCATTATACACACATTAATTTTTTAACGGTGAAAGGTAATATTTGTTATTCTTTATGTCTTCGATTCTATCGGATTTCAATTTCTCAAGTATTTTTTATGTCTTCGATTCTATCAGATTTCAATTTGTCAAGTATATATATATATGTATATATATATATATATATATATATACATACTTACGTTATGGTTTTAGAAAACATGTCTTCAGATTTGGAAAATGAAAAACTAGAAAATGAAAACAGAAAACTGGAAAAATAAGTAACAAAATGTATCTATACTTGATGCTTAACTTCCTTGACCTCTTTGTTACAGATGTTTTCTGCTCCACGGATCTATAAGAAAACTGAAGAATCCATTTATACCTTTTTTAAAGAAACTCCTGATGATCATTGGGTGAGAACAACAGATTTCACACAAAATTGTATCATTGGCCATTCTTCTGCCTTGTGTTTGAATCTTCATTTGGATGTCGAGTTACCAAATTTGTGTGATGATTTTGCATATGATAACCAAATTGTAACTCATTTCACTATGGATTATGGTTCCTCATTCTCTTCTAATTCAGTTATTGTTCCAATTTTTCATCCTCCATTGGGAATCGAGCTACCATTCAAGTTACATTTCAAGATTTGCTCTTTGGTTCAACATGGATGCCTTCCAGGTCCATCACTAAATGATGAGTTTTTTGCCTTAGTCGATCCAGGAAAAGTGGATATCAATTTAATAGAATATGCATTGGAAAAAATGTACCGATTAAAGGAGTGTTGCTATGATCCCGTGAAGTGGCTGACTGAGCAATATCACTGCAAGTTTAAACATATGATCAAATCCAATGTGATCAAGCTGGATGAAGGCCTTATGTATGTACGAAGAGTTATTGTTACACCAATGAGGGTATACTTCTGCGGGCCTGATGCAATTTTATCTAATCGCGTATTGCGCCATTATTGTGAGGATATTGACAATTTTGTTCGTGTTTCTTTCATGGATGAGGATTGGGAGAGAATGCATTCGGTAGATTTATCTCCTTCTCCACCTACTAATAATGGTGTGGTGGTGAGGACAGATATATTCAACAGGATAATGAAAATACTTGAAAATGGCATTGTTATTGGGGACAAAGCATTTGAGTTTCTTGCATTCTCATCAAGCCAGCTGAGAGAAAGTTCTCTCTGGATGTTTGCATCTAGACCCGGACTTTCTGCTACCGATATAAGATCTTGGATGGGAGATTTTAAAAAGATTAAGAATGTGGCCAAATATGCAGCGAGGCTTGGTCAATCTTTTGGTTCATCTAGAGAAACTTTTGTTGTTGGTAAAGATGAGATTCAAATGATTCCAGACATAGAGATACACACGGAAGGAAAAAATTATACATTCTCTGATGGGATAGGGAAAATCTCAGCTGATTTTGCTCAAAAGGTTGTGTATGGATCTAATTTGACACATAGCTTATGAATTAAACCTTAAATATAAGATACACTTATCCCCTCCTAACACTCTTCCCCATGAATTACCCAATTTCTAATAGGTTGCTATAAAATGCGGCCTTATGAAACATCCCTCCGCTTTCCAAATCCGGTACGGCGGATTTAAGGGAGTTGTGTCTGTTGACCCTTCGTCCTCAAAGAAATTATCCTTAAGAAAAAGTATGTTGAAGTTTGAATCAGAGAACATCAAGCTGGATATTCTAGCTTGGAGCAGATATCAGCCCTGCTATCTAAATCGCCAAATTATCACTCTTTTATCTAGTCTCGGTATTCACGACCACGTGTTTGAGAAGAAGCAGAGGAAAGTAGTTGGTCTGATGGACAAGATGCTCATCGATCCAAACATGGCACAAAAATTTCTAAAATTGATGCCATCAGGAGAAAACACCAAACTTCTAATAGCGATGCTTAATTGTGGCTATAAACCTCACATAGAGCCATTTCTTTCTATGATGTTGCAAACAATAAAAGCATCAATGGTTGAGGATTTGAGGACAAGAACAAGAATATTGATACCTAATGGTAGATCAATGATGGGGTGCATGGACGAAACTAGGACTCTTGAATATGGTCAAGTATTTATTAAGTTTTCTGTTGTTGATCGTGGACATTATTCACAACTCAATGAATATGACAACATTTTAGTGGGAAAAGTCGTTGTTGCAAAGAATCCGTGCTTGCATCCCGGTGATGTTCGTATACTACAAGCGATTGATGTTCCTGTTTTGCACCATATGGTGGACTGCATAGTCTTCCCCCAACAAGGAGATAGGTACTAACCTGTGTGTTTGTGTGCATTTTCTCTCGCATGTGTGGCAAAGAGATTGAGACATATAGTGAGGAAATTAAAGTTATATTACCCCGTCCCTTAAAACTTTGTCAACGGTGATAAACTTTAGCCAATGATTTTGATTAGTATAACTATGAAAGTTATCAATTTTATGCTTTTATGAAAGTATTTTCTACAAAGAACGTTTTTGTATAATTTTTTATATTACAAATCAATTCCTATAAAAAAATATCATATCATTGGCAAAGTTTAAGTTGATTGACAAAAAAATTTAAAGATGGCTAATTTTTAAGGGAAAGGAGTACAAAATATCAAGTATTCAAGTTCGACATGTAGTGGTATGAAGTACATAATCTTACTTATCAACGGTGGAGACTTAGGGTCTATTTGCAACAGCTTCTGCTTTTAAAAAAGTGTTTTTTTTAATGAAATGGGGAGAAGTGATTAAATAAAAGTTGATAGTGTTTGAGAAAAAAGTGATTTTGAAAAGTAAAAGTGGGTAGTGTTTGGTAAAATAAGTGTTTTTTGTGTAATAGAAAAAGTAAAAGCACTTTTGACGCGGAAGCCGAAAAAAATAAAAGTTGTAGTGTTTGAGAAAATAAGTGCTTTTTTAAAGCCAAAAGCTGAGAAATGCTTTTTTAAAAGCAGTTGCAAACCAACCCTTACACTATAAATCTCATTGTGTATAACTCCAAGCATATTATACCATTTTATTTACAGATATGACATTATGGTTTGGAGCTATTGCACATTGCAATAGTTTAGCAATTTTATAAGAATAAATTCCACTTTTGGTCCTACGAGTTTTGGGTCAATTCCACATTTAGTCCACACATATCACTTTGTCCACTTTTGATACATGACTATTGTATCTTCGCCCATATATGGACCTTCCGGCATTGTTTCTGATGGTTATAATCTCCGGAAAAGGACCACAAATGGTTAAAAAACATAGTCAAGTACTAAAAGTGGACAAAGTGAAAGATGTGGACTAAAAATGAAATTGACACAAAACTCATACGACCAAAAGTGGAATTAAGTCATTTTATAATATATGACCCCAATTTAAACTAAAACTTTTTCTTTTCTTTTTATAAAATGTAACATCTGAACTTAAAGTATGTTTAACTATACACTTAGGGATTGATATATTTAAAAATATATTCATTGTGACTTGATGTTTATAGTGATCTTTATCATTATTAAAGCATTTATATATTCTTCATATATTGAACTTGGTGATAGACCTCATCCAGATGAATGTTCTGGAAGTGATCTGGATGGAGATTTTTATTATGTTTGTTGGGACAATGACCTTATTCCAAGATCCATGGTACCACCAATGGATTATACTCCTCCTGCCACTCAACTCCAATGTGATGTTACCATTGAGGTAACATTGATTTTATTATCGTAATAATCATCATTATTGTTGTTATGTTAATTAGATGATGTATGTATAAATAAAAGTTTTCTTTGGCTAATTGTGATAGATCAGCAAAAAATTAATTTACAAAATCCTAATATTATACATTCGGTTTTATTAATTCAAACTACTGATTAATTTTGTATAATCCCAAGTATATCGTTGTCCGCCAATATTAATTATTAGTCTAGTTTATTATCCCTGAAAAATAAAAATTGGTACATATTCTTCCATTTAAACAAAAAACACATTCAACATACACATCTTTAGTTGGATTCTAGTTCTTGTGTATACTTTTGAAAAGGTTTAGTATTGAGTTAAGTAAACTTATGGAAACAAAGAATGAAGTGTAAACATACAACATCAAATTAACATAGCCTATTTGATGATCTTTAACTCACAATGTTGGCTGGGTAGGGTTTGAAGAAAAATTATACATAGTAGGCGACAAATGGATTCAATGAACCAATTAATTATAGAAATAATTAATTAGTTCATAAATTGAGGATGTGATTGAGCGCATTTTGACCTAGAGATCTATGGTTTGTTTTTCAATCGAACTTGTAGAGGTCTGTGTTGTTGCACGATTAACATCGAAGGGGTCTCACTAACCGTGTTAAATCTTTCATATGTCATTTCATCATCATTTTCATTTACCCCAGTGCCGCAAAGGCTCCCACCTACGGTGGGGTAAAGGGGGGTCGGATGTACGCAATCTTACCCCTATACTAAAACACATAGAGACTGTTTCCGGATGACCCATAGTGAAAATCGCGTCAAAAATTGCATGGACTGGCTGCTGCTTCATAAGAAAGAAGCGCAGACAGTTTAGTGAGCCGTTTTGATTTATTCCATCATATTCTCAAGTGCAGACAAATCTTTCATATGTGTGCGCATATTTTTCATATTGTTTTTAGAAATAAAAAATGATCGTCTTTATTGTCTTATAATAACAGGATATTCGGAAGTACTTTGTAGAGTACATTATGAATGATACTTTAGGTATGATTTCAAATGCCCATGTTGTGGTTGCTGATAGAGAACCAACCATGGCAATGAGTGAGCCGTGCATGCAACTTGCCCACCTCTTCTCCATTGCAGTTGATTTCCCAAAGACCGGAGTCCCCGCTGAGATGCCATCAAACTTACGCATCAAGAAGTACCCCGACTTCATGCAGAAGTTTGACAAACCCTCCTACAAATCAACCCGAATCATCGGCAAGCTTTTTCGGCAAGTCCAATCCATCCCCCGAAGTTCTGCCGCTCCTTTCTCAAAAGAAAGAGCTAAGAAATTGTACGATATGGACATGGAAGTGGATGGATTTGAGGATCACATTTGCAAAGCTCTTGAGCACAAGAAATTGTATGACTACAAGCTTGGTAGTTTGATGGATTACTATGACATAAAAACTGAAGCTGAAATAGTAAGTGGTCGGATCACCAATCCGACCACGAGGTTGTTTGATCGCCGAAGAGATTCTGAGGCTGTGATCTTAGCCTATAGGTCATTGAGAAAGGAGGCGAGGTCATGGTTTGAGAAAGGGAGGAACAGTGAATGTTCTGATGATTTAAAGGTGAAAGCTTCGGCTTGGTATCATGTCACTTATCACCACACTTATTGGGGTTGTTATGAAGAGGATGAAATGAGACGTGAACATTTTATTAGCTTCCCATGGTGCATCTATGAGGAGCTGATTCAAATTAAAAAGGACAGATCTAACACAATATGGGGTGCCCAATTTTCTTCACTCGAATGGACATGTAATATCTGCTAATTATATTCGAATTTCACGATGAATGTAAATATGATCTGAATGTAAATAATGAAATAACTACAGCAAAGGACACTCGGTCGGATATCTGACCCAACAACCTCACAACCCCTATAAAAGTTCCTCTTTCCTTCCCATGTTTGATATCCATTTATCCCATATAATTAAGCTTATTTTAGATTAGTATTGTTATTACATTTTCTTGTGTGTTTAGACTCCAATGAGGAGCTAAACTTCGCTATCTTAGTTTTCCTAAGCTGAAACTTATTGAATAAAAATTGTGAGTTTTTTAAACTTCTCTTCTTGAATATTAATTTTTCTCCATTTTTATATTAATGTTGAGGTGTTGCCATGTTGTTACATGATTAGTTAAAGTTTTAATATTAATTATTACTAGAAACTATTAATGAGGATGTATGATTAATCATTGGTCCTTTCATAAGTGTTAACTTTGGATTACTAATGCATGATTTCTAATCTAAAGGGAAATTAATTATATTGATTAAACTGATAGATCCTTTGTGTTGAGATTTTCAATCTCGGTTAATTTCATCTAAAGATAAAATGTCACTATTAAGTTAATATAAGACGTTTGTTCTATATTGTCTAAATAGTAGAGGTTAGTAAAGAGCGTTTCTCGTTATTAATAACTATGCTAAAGGAATTAAAAATACTCCATGAGTGAGTATTGAAGAAGAAATAGCTAAAATAATAGTAGGGATCAACAAATAATTCAATAAGTGGAAATTAGTAAAACCAATTCAAGTCTTTATCAATTGATTACATAATTCATTTATCTTAGTGTTTAAATCAATTCTTAAGTCCTAAATACCAAAACACCCCTTTATTCACTAGTGGAGTAGTGATGAAATTATTTTGAGGCACAAGCGACATAAATGCCGTCACAATTTGATGAGCTCGTTCGCCTGAAAGTTTGAAACCTTACCATCGCTATACATCTGGGGGAGCAAAATTTTCTCTCAATCGAGAAGAGGAAAAACTACATGAGAATCAAAGACTTGAAAACCATGACTTTTATCCATCTTGTACGGTGGACATTTCAATAAAATATATCATCGTTGTACCCATTAATACAAAAGATAATTCTCAATAATATATATATGAGATACAGAGGAAACCCTAATGAGGGGGCGGGGGTAGCAATGAGAAGAGGAGAACGGCGAAGTCGTTGCAGGCACTAGCAGCCCACACCTTGCCTCTATGCTTTACCTTTTTTCTGGTGCTCATGTTTGATCGCATGATCTTCGGCTCTTGGTGGGGAGTCTTTTTTGTTAATCTTTTGACTTTATGCACGGAGGGCTATATCGTAGGATACTCACGGAGGTTTAGAGCAAGGCAAGTAGCAGGTGCTGATTTTCTTTGCTCTGGCATGTTCATCTGCGGTCGTCAGAATTTCTCTAGAGTTTCACCGCTAGAGTTTTATTTGTCCGCTATCGTCTTTTGGCAAGGAGCGGTGCTGTCTTCCGACAATTCATTCTGGATAGGGAGATTCGGCTGGAGGAGAATATAGTGGCGGCCAGCATGGTAGCCACAATATACGATTGAATTAAGTTGGAAGGAGGTCCGAGCAGTTTGATTTGCGGCAGCAAGGGCTCCGGCAAAGAAGTCAGCGGGCCCGTTTCTCGCTAGGAGGTAAGGTCCATGTTCATCCTAAACTACCACCACGATTGAGGGAGTCACAGGACAGTTTGAGGATGATGAAGAGGCATTGTATTTTGGCCAAGAGATGGAGGCGACTCAAGGGCAGATCAAGGTGATGAAGTAAGAAGATGAAATGAAGGGGATCCGACCCACTCCTGAACTGCCGCCGGTGGTTCTTGGAAGGCTGAGTGAAGAAATTTATTTTTTGCTTTTATTTATTTTAATGGTCTGAATTTGTCTGTGTTTGTTTGTTTTTTTATGTCTTTCGATTGTAAGACTGTGGTTTTGGATTTGGATGTGGGGGATGAAATGATTGTTGTAACCGTCTTTGGCTCATTTGTGCCCATTAATGGATCGTCAAGTTATATTGCTGAGGTGATAAGCTCTGAGTATGGTTCGAGGGACGACGGTTGTCATGAGTTGTTTTGTCGGATTACCTACTATTTAAAAAAATATTCTCGATTGTAAGCCAACTGGCAAACGATTTACTTGATTAATGGAATTGTTGGGTTTGATGATAATAATATATATATGTGTGTATGTATGTGTGTGTGTGTCAACATTATAAAATATATCAACTCAACAACATAGATACATAACCATTTTAACAAGAGAAAAATAATAAAAATATGCCAAACTTTGAAGGGGTGTTAGGTAAACACCACAAATTTGCAAATGTAATTTAAATACCCCAAAGTTTATATAATTAAAAAGTTATTTTAGCACCATCGTCAAGTATTATTTCTTTAAAAAATGTAAGTTTATGGGGTTAATCGCATAATTTAGTATAATAAATTAAAAGTGGTGCAATTATATAAATCGGGGGTAACATTATTTATTTCGCAATAGAAGTTTAGAATGTTAATTCTGTCTTGATGATTTCTAAAATATTTTAAATTATGCAGTTAACACCATAAATTTATATTTTTGAAATAAATAATATTTGACGATGGTGCTAAAATAACTTTTTGTATAAAGTTTGGGGTCTTTAAATTACATATGCAAGTTTGGGATGTTCATCTCACACTCATTCAAAGTTTGGGGTACTATAATTACTTTTCCCTTTTAACAATATCATTAACATACACAATATCAATACCACACACACACATCATTTAGGATCTGTTTGCAACAGCTTCTGTTTTTTAAAAAGTGTTTTTTTAATGAAATGGGGAGAAGTGATTAAATAAAAGTTGATAGTGTTTGAGAAAAAAATGATTTTGAAAAGTAAAAGTGGGTAGTGTTTGGTAAAATAAGTGATTTTTGTGTAATAGAAAAAGTAAAAGCACTTTTGACGCGGAAGCCGAGAAAAATAAAAGTTGTAGTGTTTGAGAAAATAAGTGTTTTTTTAAAGCCAAAAGCTGAGAAGTGCTTTTTTAAAAGCAGTTGCAAACCAACCCTTAGTACATACACATTTTACATAAATTCACTACATTTATATTAAGGCAAATACGCAAAACTTGTATATATGTTGTTAAATACCTACACAATGTAAATTTTTAAAACTTATATATACCCCGAGTTTTAAAAAAAAGTTATCTTAGCAAGTTAGCATCATGATCATATATTTTTTCTTTCACAAATGTAAATTTATGTCGTTAAATACACAATTTAAAATATTTAGCATTCGTGAGGACACAATTAACATTTTAAACTTCCAATGTTAGATTTACAATACTACCCTGGTCTATATTGCAACACTTTTAATTTGCTATTTGTCATTACATGACTTTCATTATTGACATATTTAATTGACTTTTATATTACTCGCACACTTTATATTTTTTATTTTATTCAATGATGTATTAAAACAATATAAAATTTGTCCGAGATTAAAGTCTTGAAATATGACTTTTTAAACTTTATAGTTTTTACGAATATTGGCCAAGACAATATTAGTTATTTCACAAATAGAGGTTACGAATGTTAACTGCACTCTCACAAACGATAAATATACTTAAATTATTATTTACTTAAAACTAACATAACTTTTTATATAAAGTTCAAGATATTTATATTATATATACATGTTTGAGGTGTTGACCTCACACCGTCGTACCCATGAAAGTTCGGGTATTTGAAATATTATTCCTCGTATTAACTATGAAGTCAGGTGTATAGATACTATCTTATTAAAATTCAAACATAATCACCCAATGACGTACTCCATGTAGGTGAAATAAGGACCAGCTTGATTTTCGTTTTTCTTTTGGGAAAAGCTGGTGTGAAAGCTTCATTTCAATGAGATAAGGTTGCTTTGACACAAAAAAAACATCTTTGTTGGGAAGGACTATTGTAACTAAGGACGACTTGTGTTGAATATTTCCGAAGTGTTAAAATAAGTTGATTCATGTTTTTGTGAAATTACTAGCAATTAAAATCTTCATTTAAAATGCTCGCGACGTGCGTTGGAATGTGATCAAAGTATCACATTTATACGATGTGATCAAAGTTCATATATATGGCCAGCATATTAAATTGTTCTATTAAAAAAATCTCTAGCTCAACTTTTTTTTTTGGAAAAAATGAAATTTTATTGATAGGAATAAGAGTAAAGTGCGAGAAGGAAAAAGAGAATAGTACAAAAAGAAAAGGAAGAAAAAGAAAAAAAATAGTGCAGAAGAGAAATAAGTTAATTCCAGATATTTTTTTTGGACTGAGATCTAGTTCTTAAACTGTGGCGCCTTTTATCTTCTGAGGTTTCTTTAAATTTTTAGTTGTGTATTCAGGTTATCTGTTGGCAGACAGTTTCCGAGGTAATAAACTTCATTTTGTATGAAATTGTTCTGTTGAATTTGACATCTCTAGCTCAACCTTAATACACTAAGCTGTTATCAAAATTCATCTTACTTTTTGCATGAATCTAAAAAAAATTACCACTATTTATGACATATAACTTTCACCACCTCTACTCATGAGTTTTTATATCGTACAACCGGTTGTACGGTGCACACCAGGCCATACAACCAATGACATTTTTTATAAATACAGGTGAAAATCACGACTTCTGTTAATTGAGCATCAATACACTTTTATGGAGAATCAACCCTATTGTATTGAGTACTAAAAGTATAATATTGAACATGATGATCTCTATTTCATATCTTCTAATATACCTTCTTTATCTTATTTTTTGTGTAGTAATTTTTTAAAATTATATCTATAATCTACTCCAATAAATTCTAGTATGCGAATCTAATTTAATTTTATAATTTTGAAATATGAATTAATATGAAATCAAAATCGTTATAAGTTTTGCTAGTTGAGTATCAAAACATGTTCATTGAGCACCAAGTCTCTTCTATATTGAGCATTAGATACTTGCAATTGAGTATCATGATTTCTGCTCCCATGTCTTCTAACTCACTTTTTTATATTTAGTTTTTCTTTTGTAAACTTTTATAAATTATATCTATAATCAACTCATACGCATTTCAATATGCGAAACTAATGTAATATTATACTTTTAAAATATGCATCAATATGACATTTTAAAATGAGCATGTGACTCTAATATCAAATGAGCATACATAACATATCAAATGATTCCGACATATCCAGTCCTAGTCTCCTAGATATAATAATGTGCATAATGTTGTTATATTTTATATCACTACCTATGATTTAACATGTAGCCCACATTCCCTTAAAACTTTGTTATTTTTGAATTTTTTAGTCAATCATGTTCAACTTTGATCAATGATATATTTTAATTTTATAGGAAATTATTTATAATATAAAAATAATATGGAAAATTCTTTGTAGAAAGTACTTTAATGATATGGTAAAATATATAACTTTCCTAAAATTACATTTACAAAAATTGAGTAAGAATGTTTTTACTTGGACTTATTTCAATCTCAAACCAGATTGGACCACATCAGAATTAAGCAAACCAGAACAGACTTAAACTAACCAGATCAGACTAGAGTCTAATAGTTATAAAATACACATGGACCAGACATTTAAATGACACGACTAGTCAAGACCTGACTTAAACAGATTAGACCAGATCATCATACTTGGTAACATATATCCGAGGTTAGTCTAGTACACCTAGAATATGCATAGATATGTATTTAACGAAACTATCTTAAATAGAAGAAAAAATGATTGTAAATTACCAAATAGGATTACATTTTTTATTCTTTAAATATGATCATTTATTATAATGTTTTGCATTATCAGAGTTTTTTTGTTTTTTTTGCAAAACAATCAATCAACCATTATATTAATAAAAGATCATTAGCCATCGGGCTTACAATACAATCCGGAATACTATCATAATTGAAAACGTGATCTGAGATAGAGACATGTGTTCTCGCCAAAGCGTGAGCCACATGATTCGCAGACCTTCTACAATAAGAGATACCAAAAGAACTCTTTTCGTGTAATAAGAAACGAATATCATCCATCAATATATCCATGTAAGCTAATCCGCCTCCCTGTTTGAGACCCCGAACAACCACCTAAGCATCGGTTTCGAAATCAATAGTAACCCATCCTTCCATCATCGCTGCACGAACGGCCTCCCTCAGACCGTAGGCTTCGGCCTCCTCAGGGGACCAGCTTGCTACGCATGAACCTCCTCCTGCCTTAATGAAATCGCCCCGGTCATTCCTTGCCACCCAGCTCCAAGCTCTAATGTCTTTGGTCGAATCCAAAGCTGCGCCCACATTCACTTTAATCCTCCCTGCCTGCGATTTCACCCAACCCGTGTTGTCAGCCCTCGGTCTGCTGCTACCCGTCCCTGTAGCATGCTGAGCATCACGCCATGCACGCAGTATACTCGCACAACAGTTAAGCAGGCTAGCAGCATGCTGCCATTCATCATTCCAAACTAAATCATTTCGTCTCTTCCAAATACCCCATAACACCATTGCCACTTTGCACCTCGCCTCCTTATCTGGTCCAGAAAGAAGATGTTGTAGCCACATGTTCAATGAAACCTCCCCATCCCCGACTGCCACCCCAGCCGTAGCCCATACCTCCGCTGCTTTAAGACATAACCTCAGTGCATGATCAGTAGATTCATCTTCCTGCATACAAGATTTGCAAGTTTTTTGCAAAACAACTCCACGATTTTCCAGGTTAGTCAAAGAAGGTAGGGATCCATCAAGAACCTGCCAAATAAAATATTTAATTTTGGGGGGAATTTTCATCCCCCACAAATCAGTCCAGCCCCCCCAAAACCCCTCACCATCAGTCCGTATAAGATCTCTATAACAGCTACGGACAGTGAAATTTCCATGCTTCTCCTTACTCCACCAAAAACCATCCTCCTTGTCCTGTAAGCTGATAGGAATACTGCAAATAGCCTTCCGCTCTTCTGTTGAGAAAATTGCAGCTATTTTGCTCTCATTCCATCTTCTACCAGTATGATCCCGCAAAACTGCCACATTCATATCAACCACATTCTATTAGAGTTTAAACATTACACTATTTTACAAATTAATTTTACAATAATTACTCGTATGTAAGGATAAATACATATTGTATTTAATCTTACTTTATGTAAGGATAAATACATATTGTATTTAATCTTACTTTACATTGTTCGCACCTTTGATTTGCTATAATTAAAAAAGCTACACTATGAGGGATTGGGAATACTTCGTACTATCTTTGTCATTTTGTAGGTGCAACATTTGTTAACGTTACAACATTCATATACTCACTACACTTTATTTATTAATGTATCATAAATTAATGTTTTAAAAAATATTACTACTTCCGTCCCATTAACATTGAGGCATGAGGAGATGACATGATTATTAAGAAAAGTGAGTTTATGTGGTTGATATTGAATTGATAAAATAAGAATGATATAGAGTCACACAAATATTACCAAATTTGATATGGAATAATCTTAGCGTGTCTTCCCTAAAAGAAAAAATAGGACAATCTTTGCGGGGCGGAGGGAGTATTAACCTTCTCTCATTTAAAATTTTTAAAATAAGAATTTTTTAATTTTTACAAATATGGAATGCAATATACTCCCTCCGTCCCTTAATTAAGTTTACAGTCAACATTTAACGGTCTCCAATATTAACGTTTGACCATTGATATGTAGAATATATACTTATAAAACATATAACAAACTAACATTTCAATAATATATATTAAAATGAATCATTCAAAATTATATTGGTATTATAAAATAATACGATTTTTGTCAAATTAACGATCAAATTTAATAAAATTTGTCTCCAAAAGTCAAATATGGGATGGAGGGAGGAGAAAATTTATGGAATTATATAAGCAGGGGGCGGATCCAACGTGGGGGCAGGGGGGCAGCTGCCCCCACTCAACCCCACCCTACCCCTATATATACATATATATTTAATCTACAAATATATATTTTCTGTGCTGAATGTAAAGGTCTTATACCGAAAGTATAGTCTTTGTACACAAGATGATGTTTGTCTAGTGGTTATTGTACTCCGTACGTTTAATCCCTTGTTCCTAGGTCAAGGTATCGAATCCCTGCTCTACAATCTCCCCCATTTTTTCTCATTTTTGCTCTTTTTGAAGTTTTAGAATGGATTTTAAGTGGTTCTTACACATTATTGTTTTAATTTATTTCTAATTTGTACTCCCTCCGTCCCAGGGAGAAGTTCCCGGTTGACTTTCACACATATTAAGGAAATAAAGTTACTGAGGGGTAAATTTTACTGTTTGGCACTGTTTCGACACTGTTTGGCACTGTTTCCACACTGTTTGGCACTGTTTGACACTGTTTGACACTGTTTTGATGTAGGATAACTTTCCATTTAGGGAAATGGGAACTTTTTGTTGGGACTGCCAAAAAAGGAAAGTGAGAACTTCTCCCTGGGACGGAGGGAGTAAAATTTAAGATACTTTGATGCTGCTACAATTTTAGTTCCACATATATTTTATAATATTCAACCATGAAATTTTTGCAATTAATATAAATTCTATATATACTTATATATCCACAACTTGAATTAATTCTAAATACATCCCTCCTTATATGATTCATTATTTATCAACATGATTTCATAAAATAAAAATTTTGTGACTTGTTTCTTGTTGGTAGAGTGAAATTTATTAAGTATGATATCATAATATTTTTGTCAACCAAATATTTTGTTATTTATAGATAATTTACAATATTTTTTAATTTGTTCCACTGTTTGTGATATTTCCGAGATAATAAATTTTTAGTACGAGTTCCCCCACTCCCTCCACTCCCCCCTCAAGTAAATTTCTAGATACGCCATTGGATATAAGACTCCACTACGGAGTCCTATATCATATGTGGCATCTACATTATATATAGTGGGGTCTTCCATTATAAATCAACTTATGCATTGACCAACTTGAAAGTTGGACCATTGCGACTAAAAAGAATGGAGTAAGTTGATAAATAATACTTCCCTTGTTCTTAGTGGGAGGTCTTGAGTTCGAATCTCGTTAGACACACAAGGGTTGGAAACTTAATGAAGTGAGTTTCAGCCCTGATTACTTCAGACTCCCCCAGCCCCCTCCCCCAGACCCCCTGGAGTAAAAAAAAATACTTCCTCCATTCTTTTTAACGTTCTTTTTTAATTGAAACAGTCCACTTTTCACTTTTGTCAACGCACAATTTGACCGTTAATATCTTCCATTCCTTATTATTATAAAATTTTAAAAAATGGATTTTGAAAATTTAGAATGAGAAAAAATTATTAATATTTTTAAAAAAATTAATTTATAATTTAATAATAAATAAAATATATCAAAGTAAAATATATGAATAATGCAAAAAGTTGTTGCAATTAAAAGACAAGATGTAATTTACTCTGTATATTGATGTTTGTATTTCAAAAAGTATTTTATCTTAAGAAAAGCCGTAGCACAGAATTTAACCACAGTAATTATTGGCTCCAGTTCCCTAACCGACGTTATTGTGACATGGTGATGAAGTGCATGGAAGTTGAAAAGCTAATTTAGTTTGGGAAAAGGCCGTACATGAATTTGACCGCCTCACCACAGAGTTGTTTGGATGAAAACCGTACATGTAAGGTATCATCATCTTTATGATGTATCATAATCATCTTCTCAGGAAGAGAACTCAGCTTCTTTCTGCTTGTAAATTCTAACTCATTTTGGTTGCTTTTTGAGCAGTTTGGTTTATACTTTTTTCTGTTCTGATCGTGCCTTTTGTCTATAGATATTCTCGATCATGAATTCCATGTGTATGGGTTATGAATCCTGGTATATTATTTGATATATGTTCTTTATCCTATCATGATATGTTCGTTCATGTTTTAAACCTATGTTCTTACTTCTTACCCTTGCCACATTTTTTGTTTGTAAGAAAGAAGCTGCTGGTGTGGAGATTAGTACTAGTCACTAGTTGAAATTTGTCAGTATGGTCAGGACAAAAACAGTTCAGGTGTTTGGGTTCCCTCATCTTGTAACTGCAAGTGATGCTAAGGTATGCTTAGAGAGGTATACAGGTGTAGGTTCTGTGTATGCCATAGAGGTAAAGATGGCTAAAAAGGGAGGAAGAGCATATGCTAAAGTCCAATTTGATAAAGCCAGCAGTGCAGAAGGAATTATAGCTCTGGCCAGTCAAAATGGATTGCACTATGGCTCGTCTTATTTGAAGGCTTGGGAACTAGATGCCTATATTGTGCAACCTAGATCATACATCCATAAGATGGAGAACATAACTCTATGCTTTGGGTGCCAAATATCAGTAGAACGGTTTTACAAGTTATGTAGATTTGAAGATGTTTCAATAGAATTTGGATATGGATTGAAGAAGATACGCTTCTATCTATCACATCACTTTGTTCGATACAAGCTTCAACTTTTATATGATCACATTTGGCAGATTGTGCTGCATAGATCCCCCGCCCAAAACATTAAATATCTTGTCATACAGGTTTGCAGATGAACTTAATTTATTTCTCAAGTGCTACGTCGTATTTTTTATTGCATGTTCATGTCTTTGGGGACCTTCTGCTTGGTTTAATGGAGTTAGGATTGAATTATTGTTTCAAAAGAGTATATTATATTTTATCATCCAACCAAACAAGGGCTTCTGCGATTCAGATGCATACATTCAGTAAACTCACACACACGCACACATATATAATGATATTCCTATCTTTCATCCCACTGCCCCAACATGTTGGAATTAAGGTGTCTATGATAACCATTGAGGGGTTTCAGAAATACCATTTCCCGTTTTGGCGTTTCCAGGTTACATTTCTTGCTAGATGGACTCCATCGAGTGTATGTCATAAACTCATGTTTAAAGAAAGCTAATGTTTTCTAGCATGTGCATTAAAGATAATTATATTCTCATTTAATTCTTCATGGTCATTAAGTGAACTATCACATTAATTTTTAAAACTTTTCACAAAAGGTAAAAAGCCCAGCGATTCAAAAATATAAGATTCACAGCGGATAGATATGGCATTATTTTCCTTTCTTTTGATAACATTGTTTTCAATATCTCTTTTTCATTTTTCGTTAAAATACATTTCTATTATATGTGGAATCTAGTTTTGGCTACATGTAGGAGACTCATTCAGCTATTACTAATTTGTAAACATCGTCTGTCTGCTTCAGTTAGTTGCTGCTCCACGGATCTACAAGAAAATAGAAGAAGACACCATCTATAGCTTCTTTCAGGAAACTCCAGATGATCAGTGGGTGAGGACTACAGATTTCACACAAAGTTTGATTGGAGAATCTTCTGGCTTGTGTCTGGAGCTTCCTAGAGGCGTCAAATTACCAGATTTCCGTAATAATTTTGTCTTCTACAATGAAACTGAAAGTCAATTTATTCTAGAGCCCGGTTCACGGTTTTCTAGAAATTTGCATCTAGTCCCAATCATTCATCCTCCACGAGGAAGTGAATTGCCATTCGACTTAGTGTTTAAGATTAGCAGCTTGGTGCAACATGGATGCCTTCCCGGTCCCGTACTGAATGACAGATTCTTCCGCTTAGTTGATCCAAGATTGGTAAACATTGATTGCATTGAAAATGCCTTGGAGAAATTGCTCTATATGAAGGAATGCTGTTATGATCCTGTGATGTGGCTGACTGATGCATACCGTAATTTCAAGCATCCTCCAAAATCCGCTTCTATAAATCTCGATGATGGATTGGTTTATGTAAGGAGGGTCCTAGTGACTCCAACAAAGGTTTATTTTTATGGGCCCGAGGTAAACCAATCGAACCGTGTGTTGCGCCATTACATTAATGACATTGAAAATTTCCTCCGTGTATCTTTTGTTGACGAGGAGTGTGATAAAATCCAATCCATAGATTTATCTCAAAGGGGAATTGGGAAGACAGACATTTATAGCAGGATACTTTTGACACTAAAAAATGGCATTGTTATTGGTGATAAAAGGTTTGAATTTCTCGCGTTCTCATCAAGTCAGTTAAGAGAGAGTTCTGTTTGGATGTTTGCATCAAGAGTTGGACTTACAGCTACTGATATAAGAGAATGGATGGGCAACTTGAAAAAGATAAAAAATGTTGCAAAGTATGCTGCAAGACTTGGTCAATCCTTTGGTTCTTCTAGAGAAGCTGAAAGTGTTCACAGGAATGAAATTGAAATCGTTCCTGACATAATAAAGATTACTAAACAAGGGACTGAATATAACTTCTCTGACGGGATTGGAAAAATATCTTCAGATTTTGCCGAAAAAGTCGCCATAGAATGTGGCCTGGAAAAGTTAGCCCCGTCTGCTTATCAAATCCGCTATGGTGGATTTAAGGGAGTCGTTGCTGTTGATCCTTCTTCGTCAAAGAAGTTGTCTTTAAGAAAAAGCATGTTGAAATATGAATCAAATAATGTAAAACTTGATGTGTTGGCATGGAGCAAATATCAACCTTGTTATCTAAACCGCCAATTGGTGACACTCTTGTCAACTCTTGGTATCAAAGATGCGGTCTTTGAGTTGAAGCAAAAAGAAGCAGTTGCTCAACTGAATGAAATCCTCACCAATCCTGCAAAGGCAGCCGAGGCTCTTGAGTTAATGGCTCCTGGAGAAAACACTAACATCATTAAAGAGATGCTTATGTGTGGCTACAAGCCTGATGCCGAACCTTTCCTTTCGATGACTTTACAAACATTCAGGGCATTTAAGTTGCAAGATATAAGGACCAAGGCACGTATATTCATACCCAGTGCCAGATCGATGATGGGTTGTCTAGATGAGACCAGAACATTGGAATATGGTGAAGTATTTGTTCAGTATTCAGGTGCTGGATGGAGACAGTCTCTTGTTGATTCTCTACATTACAATGAAACCAGAGATTGTAAATACATTGTCACAGGAAAGGTAGTCGTTGCAAAGAACCCGTGCTTACATCCTGGTGATGTTCGTGTTTTGAGAGCTGTTAACGTGCCTGCTTTGCACCATATGGTGGACTGTGTCGTTTTCCCCCAAAAAGGGCAGAGGTAATCCAAACTCCCACCTTTAGCGTCATTTCACTCTTTGTTTCATAACATTTTCAAATTTTAAAATGCTTTAATTGTTACTGTTAAGACTTGACTAAACTCTGAGAATGGGTTGAATGCTTTAAAAAAAGGAACACCAAATAAACTTAGACAACGTATAGTTCATATACATGGTTTATTATGTGGCTTGATTGCTATCTAGTGTACATATATACTTCATTTGCATGGTATAAAAAAGTAAATATAGGCAAACAAACTAATGAAGTGTCACGCACCATATTCAATTATATACTGGTATATTTAATTCTCAAATTGGAATTTCCAAACAGCAATCAATTCTTAATGCGAGCAAAGATTGTTGTTACGGAGTCGAGGAGATGACTCTAAACTGGAATGAGTGGTGCTTCATGCTCCATATAACACACCTCAGTTAAAAAATTGTCAGCTTTCATTCATGGATTATCATTTCTCAAGCATTTTCACTCAAACGTACAGTATGTTCTGTGGTGCCAACCTGAGCTCTACTGGCATGTTCCATTTCAAAATTTCAAATTAATGTGTATATTTTATTTCACTACAAAAAAAACATATCTGCATCAATTATTTTTTATGAAACTGTAATAACTAAGGTATTGCCCTAAGTGGACATACATCAGATGATCAGAATGTATACTTATTATTCTCTCATAAAAAATAACTTGGCTTTGTTGATTCTTTCCAATTGTGTTACTTTACTCGTATACATTTTTTGGTCTGTACTGGTTAATTAAAAAAACGGTGATAGGCCGCATCCAAATGAATGTTCTGGAAGCGACTTGGATGGAGATATTTACTTTGTGTGTTGGGACCAAGATCTCATTCCGAAGGAAATGAAACCAGCGATGGATTACACCCCTGCTCCAAGCATGGCATTGGACCATGATGTTACAATTGAGGTACAACATACTATCGGTCACCCAAAACCATTGTTCCTTGTGCTAGACTTAGTTGCATTTTCAATGCATAGTTTACAATTTATAGTAATAATTTTCCGGTATACTAGTACTTCCATCCTAAAATCATCCCTTTGTCTTCCTCTTGCGTCTGTTATGCATCACATTTGATGCCACACATCCAGCATTTAAGTTTATCAGTATGTTTTCACTTGAAAGAAATCGTTCTGCAGGAAGTTCAGAAGTATTTTGCAGACTACATTGTGAATGACAGTTTAGGCATTATTTCAAATGCGCATGTTGTGTTTGCGGACAAAGAAGATAAGATGGCAATGAGTGAACCGTGTCTTGAACTTGCAAAGCTCTTCTCTATTGCAGTCGACTTCCCCAAGACGGGTGTTCCTGCTGAGATACCTTACCATCTGCGCGTCAAAGAATATCCCGACTTCATGGAAAAGCCCGCTGAAAAGACAACTTATGTTTCGTCAAGAGTGATAGGAAAGCTATTTAGGGCGGTCAAACATATCACTCCACAGCTGAGCTCTATCACATCCTTCACAGTAGAAGTTGCAAAAAAATCATATGATCCTGACATGGAAGTGGATGGGTTCGAAGACTTCATTGAAGAAGCTTTTAATTGTAAAACTCGTTATGACTTCAAGCTGGGCAATCTAATGGACTATTATGGAATAAAAACCGAGGCAGAAGTGCTGAGTGGCGGCGTCATAAAGACTTCAAAGTTCTTTGACCGCAGAAGGGATGCGGATGCGGTTAGTTTTGCTGTGAGGGCCTTGAAGAAGGAGGCAAGGTCGTGGTTCAAGAAAGGAAGTGAGTCGGCCGAGGACTTATTGGCAAAGGCATCAGCTTGGTACCATGTCACTTATCACCATACATATTGGGGTAACTACAATGAGGATATGAACCGCGCCCACTTCATCAGTTTCCCATGGTGTGTCTATGACAAACTTATTCAGATCAAGAGGGCCAAAACAGGAAATAGGGCTCTCCGTTTGACATCGACTGAACATCAAAGAAATAATGTGCATGATTCATCTCACGTATTAGAAAAACCACATGTGGAGATATGTGAGAATGTGAATTATGCGGTGCAACCGGTGAAGATACTAGATAGACAAGTAAAGAATTTGAGAAGTAAAGAAGTTCCAATGGTTAAAATCCTTTGGAAGACTGATCGGGTCGAAAAAGAGACTTGGGAAACTGAAGCTTTGATGAGGAAGCAGTACACATTTCTATTTGGGTAGTGTTGAAAATCCTGTTCAGTGGGTGAACTTTTGACACCGCCCCCGGATGTACTCGAATTTTCTATTCTTGGTTTAATTAATGTGTTTGAAATTTCTATTGTTGATCAATTGTAAGTCCATTAAAGATTTAAATAATAAATTATTAATTAAATTGCTTACTGGGCCCAGAATATTGGGATGAACTACCTCATATATATTTGGGCCATCTTATAAAATATAAGACCCCTATACAATGAAAAAGAAAACATATAACCCTTTTGAGCCAAATTAGAATGCTTTGGTAGCCCACGTATGGTTTTGGCCCAATTTGCTATAGATAGTAAGAATAAAACAGGGGCCTCCTACTCCCATGGGTTGGGGGGGGGGGGGGGGCAAATATTAAGGGTGCTGCACACATAATGGGGTTGTTTGGATAACATTTGTTTGCTTCAAAACGCTATTCTTTTTCAACAAGAAATGCTGTAATTTGCAGCGTTTTGCCTCCAACCCACTAGAATACAAACACCCCCAATAAGAAAACAAACCAATAGAACCCACCACTACTAGGAAAAAGCTTAATAGTCATACTTTTTTATGTCACAAAAAATTTCCTTGATACAACATTTGTCGCAGCCATTTGGAAATGCCAACACTAAATTTAGTGTTGTAGACGAAATGTCAGAGAGTGATGACATTTTTGTATCACCATATATTTTGATGTGCAAGTAACAACAATATTTGTGATGCTATAACATAATAAAAAATCATGATTTATCAGTATATAGATTAATGTCGACAACACATCACACAATACTACTCCCTATGATACTTTAGTGTCTTCATTATTTTATAACACATGCATGCTCATACTACCTCCGTCCCAAAATGATTTGCAAATTTGACTTTTCTTGGTCCCAAAGAGATTTTAATGTAGTTTATGAATATGTATATTTTAATTATTAAAAATTGAATTAATTATCAATAGGGAGGATTGACTTTTACTATTGGTTGACCGAAAATGTTGACTTTGCAAAACAAATAGGGACGGAGGGAGTATCATTTATATTTTTGACATGCTTGTATCATTAATCTCTAAACATTTCCAATGTTTCAATAATATATATTATACCAAATTGAACTTTTAAAAATAAGGGGGGGGGGGGGGGGGGGGCAAATATTAAGGGTGCTGAACATCATGGGGTTCTTTTTCAACAAGAAATGTTGTAATTATTTGCAGCGTTTTGCCTCCAACCCACTAGAATACAAACACCCCCAATAAGAAAACAAACCAATAGGACCCACCACTACTAGGAAAAAGCTTAATAGTCATACTATTTTATTGTCACAAAAATTTCCATGACACAATATTTGTCGCAGCCATTTGGAAATGCCGACACTAAATTAAGTGTCGCAGACAAAATGTCAGAGTGATGACATTTTTGTATCACCATATATTTTGACGTGCAAGTAACAACAATATTTGTGATGCTATAAGGTAATAAAAAATCATGATTTATGTCAACAACATAGCACACAATAGTACTCCCTATGATACTTTAGTGTCTTCATTATTTTATAACACATGCATGCTCATATCATTTATATTTTTTACATGCTTGTATCATCAATCTCTAAACACTTTCAAATGTTTCAATAATATATTTTAGGGAAAAGGAGCAAATAAGCCCACGTACTAACAAAAAAAGGTCAAATAGGCCCTTATATTGGAGGCTCTGTCCGGCCGTCGTCATCTGAGGAGGTTCCCGGTAGAATATTTTGATGAAATTTTTTGAGCATCTTATCCATTAAGTCTAGTTTACTCATACCAAATTTCAGCTAACAATTCAATCGGGAAGGCATTCAAATGAATTATTGAAGATAACTGCGCAGTTATCTTTAAGAATTCATTTGAATGCCTTCCAGATTGAAGTTTTAGCTGAAATTCGGTATGCGTAAACTAGACTTAATGAATAAGATGTTCAAAAACTTTCATAAAAAATTCCTCCGGGAACCGCCCCAAATGGCGACGACCGAACAGAGACTCCTATATGAGGGCTTATTTGACCTTTTTTTGTTAGTACATGAGTTTATTTGCCCCTTTTCTCTATATATTATATACCAAATTGAACTTTTAAAAATAAACTAATACAACCAAATCAACTTTTAAAGTCATTAACACCAATTCATAACCAATCAAAGTCATAGCACCACCAAACTTATGGTGTGTCTATGACAAACTTATTCAGATCAAGAGGGCCAAAACATGAAATATGGCTCTCCGCTTGACATAGATTGAACCGTTGTTCAGCACAGGCTTGGCCTTGGCCTGAATTGTGGTTCCCATATTGTAAATTGTTCATGCTGTGGTCATGACTCCTCTAGGTTAAACTGGTTCACTTTAATTTATCTGCAACAAAAAAGTAAAGTTTGTTATGCATTTAGGGTGTTTCGGTATAAACATAATTTTTTGTACTATGTAAATGCTCTCAATTTTTTACCTGCTTGTGTTGGACTGAGGTTTTTAATAGCAGCCGAATCGTTGACAACTTAATGGTTTGGCAAGCAGCCGTTTATTTATATTTAGTGTTGACATGTTTTTCTTTCATTATTCTTCTTATTATTATTAAAATATTCATTTATTATATGAAGTATATTATTGGAAAATTTAATTGCAATTAACCAACCTTCTTTATGATCTGTTCTCTAGTATAAGCCCTTTGTTTACACCACTCCATATGACCATATCTCGATGGCTCAGTGAAATGAGTACTAAAAACACCTTAAAAGGCTGAAATGTCATTGGTGAAGGAAGCCCCGTCCCTTGTACGGTTAATTAGGTTCTGGTCGTGTGAATTCTTAGCAAGAAATTAGTAAAGTAGGAAGGCAGAAAGAGTTTCTTTGATATTGGTGATGAACAGATTACAAACATGGAAGAAGAGAGTTACTCCTACTATTTGCTTATACAAAAGTATATATTTCATTCTTTTTTACTTGTAACATTTTTTATTTCAACCTTTGTCAAAGCATAATTTTGACCATAATTTATTAAGAGAGTTTTTTCCCGGAATAATGCTAAATAAATAAATAATTCCCTAAATGCTACCGGGTTAAAAATAATTCCCAAAATACTGCTGGATTAACCATGGTTAAGGAGAGTTGCCGTTTGAAGTGGCGGCTTTTAACTTGTAGAACAAGAGTCGCCACTTGAAGTGGCGGCTTTCCTATACATCACAAAACTATCGCAAGCAACGAACATTGAATGCCAAAGACAAGAATGAAAGGTTATGGGTCCCACCCAAATTTAAAATATCATGTTTTCTTTGAAGTGCTATAACTTTTTTATTTGTAATCTGATTGTTACAAAAAAGGGAAAATGGAAACTAATAATCCAACCTTTTAGCGGTCTTCTTTCAATAATCCCACCTTTTGATTATTCATGAATAATCCAACCTTTGCACCTCATCTTCATTCACTGGTCCGGGATCGGTTAATGACCTACTATTCCAAGTTATTTTCTTACCTTTGCAAAATATTATCTTTGTGAAAGATGAGATTTATGGTATAATGATTTGCAAAGATAAGAAAATAGCTTGGAATAGCAGGTCATCAACCAGTCAGGGACCAGTGAATGAAGATGAGGTGCAAAGGTTGGATTATTCATGAATAATCAAAAGGTTGGATTATTGTAAGAAGACCGCTAAAAGGTTGGATTATTAGTTTCCATTTTCCCTACAAAAAATATACCAAAATTCATAACTTTTTATTATTTTTCATATGACACCAATATTAAATATATAAAATCAAAAAATAATTTAACACTTTAGAAATTAATGCATATCTGTTTTTAAAGTGCTATATATTTTTTATTTGTATTCCGATCATTACAAAAATTATATCAAAACATGATTACATGATTTTTTTAAATTTTGATATAATTTTTGTAACGATCGGAATACAAATAAAAAATATATAGCACTTTAAAAACAATACGCATTAATTTTTAAAGTATTAAATTATTTTTTGATTTTATATATTTAATATTGGTGTCATATGAAAGATAATAAAAAGTTATGAATTTTGGTATATTTTTTGTAACAATCAGATTACAAATAAAAAAGTTATAACACTTCAAAGAAAACATGATATTTTAAATTTGGGTGGGACCCATAACCTTTCATTCTTGTCTTTGGCACTCAATGTTCCTTGCGTGCGATAGTTTTGTGATGTTTAGGAAAGTCGTCACTTCAAGTGACAGCTCTTGTTCTACGGGTTACAAGTCGCCACTTCAAGTGGCGGTTCTATTTAAACACGGTTCATCCAGCAGTATTTTTGGGAATTATTTTTAACCCAGCAGCACTTTGGGAATTATTTATTTATTTAACATTATTCCGGGAAAAAACTCTTATTAAGAAGTTCAAAATTAGGAAATTTAAAATGAGAGAAATTTAACAATATTTTCAAAAAATCAAATTTCTAATGCATCAATAAATAAAATGCAATCAAAGTAGGCCATGTGATACTGTAATTACTTTTACATATTCCATTTATTTAAGAATAGAGGTAGTATGTACTCTCTTTGTCCTGTTAAGATCGTCTCATATTTTAATTTTAGATCCACCTCACTAAGATTGTCGAATACCAAATTTCGAAACGTTGTGTGGCTCTAAATGATTCTTAGTTTATTCTAACTTTATAAATTCAATGTTAACCACATAAATCACTTTTCTTGATAATCGCACATTTGCACCACCTCTTCTTGTACGGATGTTAGACGGACAAAGTAGTAATATATAGGGCGATTCCAGTAAGAAAAGAGTCTCATGAGAGAAATGAGAGTACAATCCGACTCTTTAGAGCATCTTTTATGTCAAAACGTGCACGGTACACATGTAATATTAAAGTTTAGACACATAAATATTACGCAGTAGTAAGTAAAATACATATCTCCTTACTAATTGAACGGTCTTATATGTTTTAGATAAGTTTTTCTCCACAATGTCAATAAATGCGTCTAGATGTAGATATTGTGGTCGACATTGTTGAGAAAAAGTTGCCAAAATTATACGGAGTATAAAACTATGGAAAGAAAGAAATTAAAGTGAAATATCATTGATTTGTTTTTATATGTCTATCTCTTTCATGTCACATATGCACCTTACGCATTGTTGCATTGAAGATGCTCTTATGTA